ATGTTATATAGATATGCACTTATAAGCAACCTGGTACATCACAACACTCAAGTCCCTTCCAAGCAAACCTACACTGTCAGTTTTTAAAAAATATAAAAACCAAGGGTTTTGTAATTTCATTTCCGTGCACAAGAGTGTAGTCCTCATGATAAACCTTCTTTTGGGTTCAACTGTGGTGTCCAGATCTGGACACAGTATTTCAGCTGTGGTCTGACCAACCAACCAGAATAGTGTGGTAGCATTCCTTCGCTTGATCTAGACACTATACTCCTACTGATGCAGCCCAAAATTGCATTGGCGTTCTTAGCTGCCACATCACACTGTTGACTCATGTTCAGCTTGTGGTCGACTAAGACTCCCAGATCCCTTTCACAGGTACTGTTGTCAAGCCAAGTGTCCCCCACCTGTGCATTTCATTTTTTCTAGCCAGGTGTAGTACCTTACATTTCTCCCTACTGAACTCCTTATTGTTGGTTTTGGCCCAGCTCTCTAGGCTATTCAGGTCATTTTGAATTCTGACCCTGCCCTCTGGTGTATTAGCAACCCCTCCCACTTTGCAGTCATTTGCACATTTGATTAGCATGCCCTCTATTCCATCATCCAAATCATTTATAAAAATATTGAATAGCACCAGGCCCAGGGCAGAACCTTGTGGAACCCCAATAGTCATTTTTTCCAGGATGAAGATGAGCCACTGATGAGCACTCTTTGGGTTCAGCCCGTCAACCAATTACAAATCCACCTAACAGTAGCTTTGTCTAGCCCACATTTTACTAGCTTTTTTGCAATAATATCATGGGGGACCTTTTCAAAGGCCTTACTGAAGTCAAGGTAAGCTGGTACAAGGGAAAGCAGGATTGTAATTACCGTAACAATTACTGATCACTTTGGATCAGCAGTCTCAACCTAACCCACTATGTGGGGAGAGCCACGTGTTCCTTTGGAAGGCAGGTGGAATACAGTGCAATATACGGACAGCTGTTTTAAAAGATGTAACTGTAACTTAAAATCCAGTATCAGGGGGGGAAAAAATAGATGGTCCCTGTGTGGATAGTCACGTCTGCATGATGGGGCCACCTCCAGTGACCATGTGGCCTGATATAAGAGGCTTCTAAAATCAGTCCTGAAAGTAGACTGATTGAGAATGACACACACATAGCTTTTGCTCTTCCATTAAGAGGGTGAGCTGAAGCAAATTCTTGCCTCCCTTTGGGCTTAGCAATACTTCCTACAGCATTCTTGTTGAAGGGCATTGGAGAGTTAGGTGAGGGTCACTTTTCTGTTTTTCCACCAAGTCCCCAGACAAGAATGCTACAGCATCATCCCCAAACACTCAGTCTCATAACAAAAAATACTCAACGGAGTTAGGGCTGAGGGTAGGGGAGTACAATCATGATCTTTCCAGTCCTCTAGAAGCTGACCCTTTTGGTCATTTTGATCATGGAGCCAAATATCTCTTCCCAAGTTTTAAGAGTCTAAACAAGTAAAGAACAAGCTTGCCCTTTACATGCAAAAGCCCTGAAATTCAGCCCATTGGGCAACTGATCATGGGGCTGGGAGGAGGGAGGTAAGGACTAGCACCTTCTCTGCCCTCCACCTCCAACAGCTACACCTGAAAGATTCATGATGGGGTTCGATTTGAGAAGCTGGATGTTTATAAAGGCACTTAGCCGATTTCTGCCACGGAAATTCTGAACAGAAACACTCTGCAGGTTCAGCCCCCAACAGAAACTGCTCTGTGGTCTCTGTGTTGGGAAATGGGAACAGATCTTGCTCATCACCAACCTTCCCTCCACAAATCAGTATCACTATGAGGCTGAACTGAACAGCTTGCTCCAGAGTTTTAAGAGATACGTTTCTGTGGGGTAGTGGTTAAGAGCGGTGGACTCTAATCTGGTGAGCTGGGTTCGCTTCCCCGCTCCTCCACATGCAGCTGCTGGGTGACCTTGGGCCAGTCACACTTCTCTCTGAACCCTCTCAGCCCCACCTACCTCACAAGGTGTCTGTTGTGGGGGTGGAAGGGAAAGGAGATTTTTAGCCACTTTGAGACTCCTTCAAGTAGAGAAAAGCAGGATATAAAAACCAACTCCATGAATAAGAATTCTATGGAAAAGGACCATCCCTGCCATGATGATGAAAACTATATGTTTGGATTTTGCTGTATTATACCAACCTGTGGAATATGACAGTTCGCAGTTTCAAAATCTATTTGGCCACAGTGGATTGACAGTCTGGACACACGAAAACCTCTGGAAGATCTTTTGAATCAATGCCTATGCGAAAGCAGTGGTACCAGTCCTTGCAGTTTCCTTCACAGTAAACCACAGTTAGGTCATCACTGGGCATGGATGTTACAATCCCCTAGGACAACCAAACTAGGTATCTCCAGGAGAACATCCGCCATGACCTGAAGCAGCTCGGGCAGGGAATCCTTGGTGCAGCGGGGAGGTCAGTACACCAAAAGGAATCCTGTACTGCCCCTATTGCCCAACTTCCAGAACATGCACTCAGAGAACTGGGTTTTCCCAGTAGGACGCCTGATGCAAGCTAGTGACTTCCTAAAAATCACTGCAAACCCCCCCGCATGACCTGGGTTGCTGTGTGTAAGAGAAACCTGGTGGACAAGCAGCAGCAAGGACAGGCCCATCTGCTTCATCCAACCAAGTCTCTGTTACACATACCAGGACAAGTCCTCCATCCACAATCAAGTCATGGATGGCAGTGGTCTTATGAATCATTGACCTAGCATTGCACAGCAACCCCTTCAGGTCATGTGAGTTTCCCTTGTTGAGCGCAAATATAACATTGAATCACAATGGTACAAAATAACTCAGCAAGCTGACATTTATCAAGAGTTAAACAAAGATTAGTGTACTAAATATTATTTCCAATTCTAAGTAGTTTGCTATTGGAGAAATACCATATATGATTATAAAAATCTAAAGCAAGAATTATTTGAAAATATGATTTCATTTCTAGATCAGACAGACAAGATTTCTTCTACTATATATTTCTTTCTTTATCATATACACACAAAGCTTCTATTTTTAAACAGGAAATATTTTTGTAACTAAGGTCTATTATACATATCCATACAGATATTCATTTTCTTACAGTTCTGTTAAGTTGTATACAAATGATAAAGATGAGTCAATTATTTACTAAAATGGCGAGTTTTGCCATTACTGCATATTCTGATAGTTTCTCTTTCCATGCATCTATTTCAGGACATATGTCAGATTTCCATATGTTAGTCAACACCACTCTAACTGCTATGGTCACATAACTAAATAGTTCCACTGACGATTTCACAATACAGTAGCTGAAGGAGTCATTCCCAACAGCATAGTTTTGGGGTCCAATGCAAATTTAGGGGGTTTTTTTTACATTTTTTCATTTCGAAATGAACTTTCCTCCAAAACTTTTTGGTCTTTTCACAAGTGCACCATAAATGGAAGAAGATTCCTTAAGGTCTATCACATTTCCAGCAATGTCCATTCATTGCATTATTCATCTTCTGTATATTTTTCAAAGTTATATACCATTGAAAGAACATTTTTGTACAGTCATACCTCATGTTACGACTGCTTCAGGTTACGTGTTTTTGGGTTGCGGACTGCGGGAAACCTGGAAGTACCGGAACGGGTTACTTCCGGCTTTCGCCACTCGCACATGCGCAGAAGCGCCAAATTGCGCCTGCGCCTGTGCAGGCGTGGCGCTTCAGGATGCGAACGCTGTGGGTTGCGGACGTGCCTCAGTCACGGGTTATGTCTGCAACCCGAGGTTCCACTGTACCAATTTTGTTTTAGGGCTTAACTTGCAGTAAATTTTATTCCTTTATTCATAATTGTTCTCATTGTTCCACTGTAAACTGCTCTTAAAATTTTTGCATCCATTTTGTCATATAAGGTTTTGCTTTTCTCATATTTTGTCTCCTCTTTAATACTTTGGCATGTATTTGATCTGTTCTTGAAGATGAACCATATCCTGGTACAATATATAGTCATATATTCTCCTATCGGCTCTAATATATAATGTTCCAGTGGTGACATTAACAGTGCAGGTAAGGACATTTTTGTGATTTGGATGTAGTGCAACTCATCAAGTTTTTGTGGTGCAGGGTGTGCACCTGGCTATGATGTGTGATTTGATGGGGAGTTTGGGGAGCCCCAATGTGAAAGAGTGAGGATCCATGAGGATCCGTGCTTCAATACCACGTTTTTGGGCCATGGAGTGGCCAGGAAGCCGTGGATCCAAGTTTTTTGTGGTGTAGGCTGTGCCCCTAGGCTATGTTGTGTGATTTGACAGTGAGTTTGGGGAGCCCCAATGCAAAAAGCGTGAGGATCCATGAGGATCCGTGCTTCAAAACCACGTTTTTGGGCTACGGTGTCACCAGGAAGCCATGGATCTGGGATTTTTGTGTTGCATGCTGTGCCCATGGCCATGATGTTTGATCTGATGGTGACTTTGGCCTGATCTAATGCAAAAATCAGGAGGATTCATCAGGATGCGTGTTTTTTAACCATGTTTTGGCTCCATTTCGGCAGCACGAAACAGTGGATGCGTGATTTCTTTGGTTCTGCTTACAGACTAAAAAATGGTCTACAGTATCATGGTGTTTTTATTTTGATTCACTATAAAAATCATATGAATTCATGAGGATCCATGCCTCGGATCCATGCTTTTGTGGTGCTGCATCCACGTTTTTGATAGTCCAGTCTGTAGGCGTGCCTTCCAGGTGGGATTTGACACTGCATTTGTTGGAGTTATTTTTTAAAAAGTGGAAGATCCATGAGGATCCGTGTAGATCCGCCTTTAACCCAGACCCAAGTGCACAATTATCAAGAACTGAATCCTACACAGGAGTAGACCCAGGAGTACACAGGAGGCTTTAGTGGGTCTGCTCTGGAGGAGGCTCTGAAAAACGGGACGAGAGCGTGCATTAAGACCGGCCAAGATCATGCGAACAGAGTCAATATTTTAATTAATATTGGTTTATTAATTGGTTTATTAATTACAAGCAAACAGCAAAGAACCTGCACAAACAATGCTAACACCAAACCCTACGTATAGTAAGTAAAATAGAAAAATCGCCACCCGACCCCACCCCCACCCATCGTTCCCCCCTCCACCTATTTCCCCTTTTCTTCCTAATGTCTCAACAAATGAAAATGATTTATAAAAATGTTACATGGGGGAAAAAACATGAAAGAGAGACATTGCACACTTTTGTAAATCAACAAAATCTTTAATAAATAAATAAATAACTACTAATCATAAAAAAGAGGCCTCCTCACCTGAAGGACATCAAAGCCCACCTGAAGTCCCAAAACAAAACTATCATATCCTGATCCACGCAGATCCATCCGTGTATGGAGCGATCTGCGTTGATCTGGATCTGATAGTTTACGACTCCCTGTTGTAGGGTATAACATGTATAATAGTATGTTTTGGGACTTCAGGTGGACTTTGATGTCCTTCAGGTGAGCTTTGGGGCGTACGGCTTTCCTCCATCTCTACTGCACAGGATTCCTCAGGAATGACAAGATCACTTGCACAGCTTTCCTCCATCTCCACTGTGGAGGATTTCTCTTGAATTACCAGATCTAGCAAAGAACCACACTTCGAACAAGTAGTTAGACTCTGGCTTTTCACCCCACTTCCTGGGGTAATCACCACTACAGTTTCTATTAGAGATGTATCTGTTGTGGTGGTCCTGATGCAACATCTCTCAATCCCAACCAATGCTGCACTCAGCAGCTGGAAACCCGCAGCGATATAGCCTAGATAAATAGAAGGTCCAATATGCTGCTCGCTGGGAATTTGAGGCAATTCAAAAGTTTCAGGGAAGTCAATTTCCCCATTTTGTAAGACAGCAGACATGTTCCATACCACAGAAATCAGGACGAGTATCCCTGCAACTAAGTTCAGCAGAGCTCCAAGCCTAAAAAAGCGAAAGAGAAAATCCTTATGTTTTCTGGGCTTGAACACATTGTACAAGGCAAATGAAATTAATCCCAGGGCCACTGAATTCATAATGGAAGCTAATGCCATTAAATCCTGTGCAATAAAAATTTCCTTCGGGAGGGTTGGATGTTGCTCATTGAGATCTTCGCAATGCCAAAAAGAGTTGCCGTCGTTAGAAGGGTCTTTCCAAAAGCAGACCTGCCAGATTCCAATCCAGATGTTTCCAGAGCCAATCCCCTTGACGTTTTCCACACGCCACACTCTCCAGTTGACACTGAGTGTTGACACAATGCACATCGGCAAGGACAAAATATCCACCAGGAATGCAGATATCTGGAGGCCGGAAACTAAGCTCAGCCATCTGACTACCTGGGAGCCTTCTTTCACCCGCAGGGGGGGTTTGGAGAGGAGGGGACCAGGGGAGACATTGGCAGACATCCTGGAAACAAAAGAGAAGACAAGATGCAGTGAGAGAGGGAATAACAAGCATGTCTAGTCATTGAAGGACATCCTCCCTCCTGCATTCTTCCTTCCATGCACAGAAAGAAGCAGCAAAAGAAAGAGTTCCCCTGCTCTCTCCCACCCCCTGGTTAGGTAGAGACATCTGATCCAGAGAAGCCGCAACTCATACTTTCTTCCAGCACACTGCTACTGATTTAATCTACTGTTGCATTGTTCCTGTGAAAATGGCCAGAACCTCAGCAACCTGTTGTGGATGGGAAGCTGCTCATGATTTTGCTGTTTTGTGGGTTAAACCACAGAGCCTAGGACTTGCCCATCAGAAGGTTGGTGGTTCTAATCTCCGCGACGGGGTGAGCTCCCATTGCTCGGTCCCTGCTCCTGCCAACCTAGCAGTTCGAAAGCACTTCAAAGTGCAAGTAGATAAATAGGTACCGCTCCGTCGGGAAGGCAAACGGCGTTTCTGTGCGCTGCTCTGGTTCGCCAGAAGCGGCTTAATAATGACCCGGAAGCTGTATGCCGGCTCCCTCGGCCAATAAAGCAAGATGAGCGCCGCAACCCCAGAGTTGGTCACAACTGGACCTAATGGTCAGGGGTCCCTTTACCTTTACTGCACCTATCTTTTTCCACTGAGCATAAACACAGCTGATGGCATAGTGAGGAATGTTTAATCCATAAACTTACGTGAAATGCCTTCCTCAGCTAGAGTCTAGCGTGCCAGGAACAGCGCAGGTATTTGAGCTGACGTTCGCCTGAGCAGCCAGCCAGCCACAGCAGCAACTGCTCTGCAGAATTCTTAGGTCAGTTACAGTCCAGTTAGAATCCTGACAACAACACAAATCATAACTCCAAGGTACTGGTCATTTGGAACATCAGGAAGTGGAAAATGGGAGGGAACTCAGTTCCCTTCTTTCCCAAAACAGAGTGTCTATTCCAGGACACTGTGCAGTTAAAACGCGTTTCTCCTGAAGTCAGATTCCAGCAGTAAAAATGGTGATACAGTATGTGTATCTCAGTACAGATTTGTTTGATGGTCCTGAATGCATTTCATAAAGGATCTCCATGTACAAGAAAGGCTAATAGCATGAGCCATAAGAATTTCCTTGGCAAAATTATTGAAGACTCCTTACAAACCTCTCATTCTTCTTCCCCATCACATCTTGTTTGGACATTATAGTAAGGGAGAAGATCTTAGCTCTTTTCCTTTGCACTGGGACCACATGGAATGTGCGCCATGGGACCCCATCCCTCACACCAATACAGGCAATACCATTTTCAGAACCTAGGTGTCCGTGATTTAAAATGGCTTTCCTAAGACACTTCCCTCAAAATATTTGTGTGGCTTTCTTTCTGTTTCTTTCTGTGTTGATGCTCCGAATGTGAGCTGCTCAGCTGCATGCAGTTTCCACTGAAAAGTGTGTGTGTGATTAACATTCGGCCAAGCAATAGGCCTAAATAACTTTGGGAGCCAGCCTTTAAAAATCTAAAGGAGATATCAAATTCAGAGGAATTAAAAGCTGTCATCCTTTTGACAATTTTAAACATCATAGAACATACACAAATGCTAATGTTTGAAGGAAGGCAGCAAATGGAGCATTGGAGCCATCCATTCATTTCAGGAGTTGTGACCATTGATAAGATGAAGCACTTTCACACTGCATGGCAGTGTGCAGTGCTTTTAAAAAGGTAAAGGTAAAGGACCCCTGACACTTAAGTCCAGTCACAGGCTACTCTGTGGGGGGGGGCACTCATCTGGCTTTACTGGCCGAGGCAGCCGACGTTGGTCCGCAGACAGTTTTTCCGGGTCATGTGGCCAGCATGACTAAGCCGCTTCTGGCGAAACCAGAACAGCACACAGAAACGCCGTTTACCGTCCCTCCAGAGCGGTACCTATTTATCTACTTGCACTTTGACGTAGTTTGGAACTGCTAGGTTGGCAGGAGCTGGGACCGAGCAATGGGAGCTCACCCCGTCAAAGACGCAAGTCCAGTTCTGTATCTGCATGACATCATCCACACCCAAATGCTCTCCCATTCTGTTTCCCCCACTTAATCCGGATACACCATCTCCATTGAAAACTCTGCTCAGTGACACCCATCCAATAGAAAAGTGCTGACCGTCTTCATGCAGATACACTTCCGTGCAGGGGTTTGGCCGACAAGTTCTTCCCAAGTGGGGGGATGTTTTCAGGGGCTCTTTGCTTTTCCCTGCCTCCCCTTTCATCCTCACCTGAGGAGATCTTGGCCATTCTCTTGACAGGGACCTCCGTTCTCAGGCCGGATTTCTGTTTTCCTTCATTCCTCCTTCTCCTGGTGTGGTTCACTGAGCAAATAAGAGAGAGGAGGTTTCATGCAAGTCAAGGTGTGCAATGGATCTTCAGGGCATTTAGAAGGAAGAAAAGATTCAGGAACAAGCGACGCAGCAGCCCCCCAAGCGTAAAAACACATTTGAACATATCGCTCATGAGATCCCCCCCCCTTAGGATATAAATGCAGAACATCCTGTGCTCCTATTAATATACAAAGTGGGGTATTTCATATGATAAGAACAGAGGAAGCTGCCTTATACGGAGCCAGACCAATTTTGGGAAAGTGCTACATGGGCCAGTCCACCGATTGGCTACCAATGAGAACATAGCAAAAGACAAAATGGCTGCCATATGGTGTGGTATGAAATAAATTTGCCTGGCTGTGGGGCGTGAAGGCCGCACCCTGCAAGACCCTTTCCACGTGGCCTAGGCCCAGACTCGCTAGCCCCACAAAAGAGGCTCCTCATGAGGCCAGAGGAACATGGCCTGGCTGTGGGGCATGATTCGAAACCTCCAGTCCCAGTCCACTGCTCTAACCACTAAACCACACTGCCCCCCATTGCAGTCTACAACAGCCTGGAGGGCCACAGATGCCCATATTCTCTGGCTCTGAGATTGCCCAAAGTTTCCTTTCTATCCCTTGTTGTGCAAAAAGAAAAATGCCCATGATAAAAGTGACATTTTTGGTTCTTTGGAGACAGTTCTGCTTCTCTCTCTCTCTCTCTCTCTCTCTCTCTCTTCATTTAAAGGAGCCTCATTCCTTTTCCCACCCAACTTCCTCCTGCACACAGCTTCAAAATTTCCATGAAGAACTAACTAACTAACCAACCATAATTGGAATTTACGAGATTAAGGAGATTATTTATTTTTATATAATGAAAATAGATGGGAGGATAAGTGAATTGCGCAAGGCAAGAATATATAGGATGGCAAAAATCAAAAGAAACAAAGATTATGATTTGGGTTCTTAAAATAACAACAACACATGCCTCCTCAGTGGATTTCAGAACAAATATGTCTCTCTCTTTTTTAAAATTACCCAAACACTGTAATGCAAGGAGTTCTGGTGACAATGCAGTGAGATTCTACTCAGAGTAAGCCTATTGGAATGAATGGGTTTGAATTAGTTGTGTCCTTTAGTTTTTGCTTTTTACCTGGATAATGCCTGATTAGGGGTAGGGATTGGTTTGGTTTCTTTCTGTTCTGGGTTTTATTAAATATTTTGTTGTGTTGTTGTTGAAATTCCACAAATTGCACATCAGGATTCGTTACATAGTAAGTCCCCCCCCCCTTTCTATTATCCCATTTCCTAAGATGTTTTTTTCTTTTCTTTTGCACCCTTAGCTGCAACTTATCTTCCCTCTTTTATATCAGAACTCTAATGCTCTATTAGAATTGAAAAAGGGGAAACCCAGCCGGATGGGCAGGGTCTAACTAAATCATGATGGTTGTCTTATTTATTTGTGTTTTTATCTTGTATAAAAAATAAAACTCCCCAAAACCAAAGTTGAAGCAAGAAGGAATCTTCAAATATTAAATAAATGCAAGGAGTGAATTGCCAGGACTTGAAAGCCCCCTGGTGATGAATTCACTCTTTCCACCCACCCACCCCCGTTTCAAAAATGTGCATGGAATGAATGAGCTGGCATTCAAATCTATTCTTTAAAAAAGCATATTTCCTATTATTATTGGGTCCATTCTGACAAATATTGGGTCCATTCTCTCACTTCTGACCCTTCTTGATTCCCTCATTCCTGGGGGTTGGACTAGATGACCCATGGGGTCCCTTCCCACTCTTCCGTTCTACAAATCTTTCGCCTACAATTCTGACACCCGCTTCAGCTTGTACCAATCATACCAGCAGATAAACCACATTTTCTCCAGTTGATGGTCTTTTTTTAGGGGGTAGAAAGGAGTGTGGCTTTGTTTTGGAGGTTTTCGTTAGGAAATCCTGACATCCAGTGGATGGGGAACACATGACAGCTGACGTTACACGCCCAACATCCACTTAAAAGCCATATGGTACCTTGAAATGCTTCCCCCAAAGGATTCTGGGAGCTGTAGTGCTGAAAGCCGTTAGGAGACCCCCTATGCCCCTCCCAGAACTCCCATTCCCAGAGTTCCCGGGGAAGTTGTGGGCATCTCTTTCGAGAGGCAATGGAGTGCGCCTCTGGGGGGTAAAATCAAAGGTTTTCAGCAGGCGCTAGAAGGAAAAACGTAGGAGACGCCTGCAAGAAGCCAAGTTACAGGGAACCAGGCAGAGGCCTTCTGGGTGGTGGCACCTTCTTCATGGTGATCCACTACTGCTTTAAGGGAGGTCTTGGAATAAGTAGATTTGTTGCTGATCCAAAACACCCACCCACCCCACTCACACATGAAAACAAAGACCACCACAGCCAACTACAAATGAATAACCACACCCTAGGCCAACCCCAACCTCTCTCACCACCAAAGGAACACAAGCAAACAGCAAAGAACCTGCACAAACAACGCTGACACCAAACCCTACATATAGGAAGTAAAATATAAAAATTGCCACCCCACCCATCTTTTCCACCTCTTTCCCCTTTTCTTCCTAATGTCTCAACAAATGAAAATGATTTGTAAATGTGTTACATGGGGGGGGGACACAAGAGAGAGACATTGCACACTTTTGTAAATCAACAAAATAAATAAATAAATACTAGTCATAAAAAAGAGGCCTCGTCACCTGAAGGACATCAAAGCCCATCTGAAGTCCCAAAACAAAACTATCAGTTTAGTCTTTACGGTTGAATGGAATCACATGTATAATCATATGTTTGGGGACATCAGGTGGGCTTTGATGTCCTTCAGGTGAGCTTTGGGGTGTATGGCTGTGGCATTTGCCTCCTAGGATGGGTCATAAGGAAAGGGTAAAAATGGGTGTCATGTGATTGGCCAGTGAGAATGCAAGGGGGGAGTAAAAGTTTTGAAAGTCAGTTGAGGTTTGGGAGTTGGAGAAGGAAGAGGGAGGAATAGGCAGTGGGTTGGTCAAGTTGTATTGTGAGAGAGTGAGAGGAATTGTTAGGGAGAGTCAGATAGATAGTTGGAATAATCAGTTTGGAGTTGTTAGGAACTAAAATTAAGAAACTGAGAAGAGAAAAATAAACGGAAACCATACGCTTGTTCCTGCATTTAAAAATAAACTTGATTATTTGTTAATGTTAGCAACTGTCTGGGCTCCGTGTGTCCCCGTGAGAAACGGGGTGTGGCAGCCAAGAAAGCAATCACCGTGGTGGCCACATGTGGTGGGAGTGTGAAAAGATGAAAAAAAATTGGGACTTTATATATAATGAACTGAAGAAACTTTTTAAGTATACATTCCCGAAAAAACTGGAGGCTTTTCTATTAGGGATAATAGGGGAGGAAGTAAAAAAGGAGGATCACAAATTATTCCAATATGCTCCAGTAGCAGCTAGGATCCTTGTAGCTCAAAAGTGGAAGTCACAGGAGACCCCAACGGTTATGGAATGGCAGGCTAAATTTTTTGAATACACAGAATTAGCGAAAATGACGTATAAAATCCGGCACCAAAAAGGGACAAAGTTTGAAGAAGAATGGGGTAAATTTGTGGCATACATAAGAATTAACTGTAGAAGTTTAAAAACTACAGCAGGGGTAACATAAATCCTGTGATGTGTATAGAAGTGAATAGGAATCTGTAAGAGAAGATCTATATTAAGAAAACCGCAGCTGGGAAGGAAGGAAGTCTGGGCGTGTATATACGCAGTGTAAATAAGATGACATAAAATGATGACTGTAAAATATTGTTTTATTTTGTTTGTGAAAAACTGAATAAAAAGCATTTGCAAAAAAAGAAAGCAATCACAGTGGTGGCACAGGGTCAATAGACCGTCAAACGTCCGGGGGCCCTGTGTGATCGCCACAAAATTGGTGGCAGCGGTGGGATAACAACCGTAGGTGGGATCACAACCGTACCTGCGGTGGAATAACATCACTACCTGTCACCACAGAAGTGGTAGGCAAGTGGTGGGATTCGGTGGGGAAACAATACACCTGGAGGGTCAAGGGTAAATCTGTGAAGGGATTACCTAGCCCGGGGGTGTAGTTGTGAGGTACCCAAGATAAGCCGCAAAGCCAAGATAACAAAGAGAAAGAGAGCTCAAAGTGTGTTCTGGTAGAGGGTTTCGGCTCGTGGTCAGAGGAAGGAGAGCTTGAAGGGTTAGAGAGAAAACCCATAGCAGAACTTTGGGACCAGAGTCTTGAGAGAAGCCTAGCCAGAAGAAACAGAACTGAGAGGAAATTTCTCTTATTTGTTAATTTATTGATGGTTCTCACTCACACAATATGTCACCCAAAAAGATAAGAAACCCTGTGAGGGAAACAGCTTATGAAAGCTCTGAAGGAGAGGAGAATGGAAATCCTCAGAGGGAAGAGCAGAGTTTAGAAAATATAACTAATATTCAACCTGAGGCAGGAGGTCCAAAATTCTCTGAAGAATTTGAAAGCGAAAGTTAGAACAAGAATATAGATTGGAATTGGAAAAGATTAAATCTGCACAGGAATTAGAAAGAATGCAATTTCAGTTGGAGATGAGGAAACTGGACTTGGCAGCTACGGAGAATCAAAATAATAGTAATAACACCAGTAGTCCAACTCAAGTGAAGGTAGATTTAAAGCGTTTTCCTGAGTTTAAGGAAAAAGTTTGCCCTGAGGCTTTCATTATATCATTTGAAAGAGCTTGTCAAGACTTTCAAGTGAAAGATGAGGATAAGATGACGATCCTTAGAGCCAGGATCAGTGGGTCATTAGCACAAATTTATGCCCAAATGTCGGCGAACTATTCAAAAAATGTTGATATATTTAAGCAACTAATATACACCAGGTTTGGGATTACCTCAGAACAACTGAGAAAGAAATTTAGAAGTGTGACTAAAGTGAGGCAGGAGACATCTGCTCAGCTTGGGGCGAAAATCTCAAACTGCCTCACAAAATGGTTAGAAAGAGGAGAGGGCAGACTCTGTTCCAAAAATCAGAGAAGTGTTTGCTCTGGAACAATTTTATGAAACAATAAACGACCAATTAAAATAAGGAAAGACACCCTCAAATCACTTCAAGAAGCCGCTAACTTAGCTGACCAAATAAATGAAATAAGGGACCATAGGTTCAATGAACCAAGTTTTGGCGGGAAAGTGTGGGGGACTAACAGAAATAAATTCCAACAAGCAAAGGGAAACCCCTCTTCAGAGAAAGACAAGGGAAGTAGGCCATTGTCAAAAGGGCAAAATGACAAGGCCCAAGCCAACACCAGTCTCACTGAGGAGAAAGGGTGGAAAACAAATTATACAAATCCCAAAGAAGTTCAACGCTGGGGATGTGGAAAATTTGGCCACAAAAGTTTTAATTGTAGAGCTGGAGGAGAAAAGTCTGGTAATATTAGCCCTCAGAAAAAAACGTATTGCATCAAAGCTGAGGAGAGTCAAGCTAGGCAGGAAAGGCCAAAGCCTATCACTACAACTCCTTGCATTATAGTGTTTGGGTAATTTTAAAAAAGAGAGACATATTTGTTCTGAAATCCACTGAGGAGGCATGTGTTGTTGTTATTTTAAGAACCCAAATCATAATCTTTGTTTCTTTTGATTTTTGCCATCCTATATATTCTTGCCTTGCGCAATTAACTTATCCTCCCATCTATTTTCATTATATAAAAATAAATAATCTCCTTAATCTCGTAAATTCCAATTATGGTTGGTTTATTAGTTCTTCATGGAAATTTTGAAGCTGTGTGCAGGAGGAAGTTGGGTGGGAAAAGGAATGTGGCTCCTTTAAATGAAGAGAGAGAGAGAGAGAGAGAGAGAGAGAGAGAGAGAAGCAGAACTGTCTCCAAAGAACCAAAAATGTCATATTTTGTCATGGGCATTTTTCTTTTTGCACAGCAAGGGAGAGAAAGGAAACTTTGGGCAATCTCAGAGCCAGAGAATATGGGGCATCTGTGGCCCTCCAGGCTGTTATAGGCTGCAATGGGGGGCAGTGTTTGTTTAGTGGTTAGAGCAGTGGACTGGGACTGGAGGTTTCGAATCATGCCCCACAGCCAGGCCATGTTCCTCTGGCCTCATGAGGAGCCTCTTTTGTGGGGCTAGCGAGTCTGGGCCTAGGCCACGTGGAAAGGGTCTTGCAGGGTGCGGCCTTCAGGCCCCACAGCCAGGCAAATTTATTTCATACCACACCATATGGCAGCCATTTTGTCTTTTGCTATGTTCTCATTGGTAGCCAATCGGTGGACTGGCCCATGTAGCACTTTCCCAAAATTGGTCTGGCTCCGTATAAGGCAGCTTCCTCTGTTCTTATCATATGAAATACCCCACTTTGTATATTAATAGGAGCACAGGATGTTCTGCCTTTATATCCTGCGGGGGGGGGGGGGCGAATCTCATGAGCGATATGTTCAAATGTGTTTTTACGCTTGGGGGGCTGCTGCGTCGCTTGTTCCTGAACCTTTTCTTCCTTTTCTTTCTTCACAGTGGAAGCTATGAATATGAATGTCATTTCAATACATTAGCAAATGGTTCTTGCTAATGCAGAACCATTTCAGATAGAGTTTTTATTTCGGTCATTCCATAGACATTGACGTGATCTTACAATATAATTTGGTGGAGTCCATTTAACAATCATGACGATCCATGAGGATTAAAGTACTTAATATAGTGTTTGTTCCTTGGCTGTGCTCTGTGGGTTTTGTGGTTCATTCAGTGGTCATATTCATCATGTGTGATTTGATAGTGATTTCAGGGTGACCAAACATAAAAAACCAGAAAACTGTGGAGCCGTAAATTTTTAAAACATATATATATTCAATTTTATAAGGATTAGGGAAGTACAGAAAGGGAAAAGGGGGAGGGGATAGATAGATAGATAGATAGATAGATAGATAGATAGATAGATTAGAAATTTAAAAGACCTATAAAGATTATCAAATCCTACAAAGTAATAATAATAATAATAATAATAATAATAATAATAAAATTTGTACCCTGCCCATCTGGCTGGATTTCCCCAGCCACTCTGGGCGGCTTCCAAAAAAATGAAATAAAAATACATTAAAAAGTCACACATTAAAAACGTCCCTAAACAGGGCTGACCAGGAAGCCGTGGATCTGAGTTTTTTGTGATGCAGGCTGTGCCCCTAGACATGATGTGTGATTTGACGGTGAGTTTGGATTGGCCCAATGCAAAAAGCATGAGGATCCATGAGGATCCGGGCTTCAAAACCACGTTTTTGGGCTACGGTGTCACCAGGAAGCCATGGATCTGGGATCTTTGTGTTGCATGCTGTGCCCATGGCCATGATGTTTGATCTGATGGTGACTTTGGCCTGATCTAATGCAAAAATCATGAGGATTCATCAGGATGCGTGTTTTTTAACCATGTTTTTGCTCCATTTCGGCAGCACGAAACAGTGGATGCGTGATTTTTTTGGTTCTGCTTACAGACTAAAAAGTGGTCTACAGTATCATGGTGTTTTTATTTTGTTTCACTATAAAAATCATATGAATTCATGAGGATCCATGCCTCGGATCCATGTTTTTGTGGTGCTGCATCCACGTTTTTGATAGTCCAGTCTGTAGGCGTGCCTTCCAGGTGGGATTTGACACTGCATTTGTTGGAGTTATTTTTTAAAAAGTGGAGGATCCATGAGGATCCGTGTAGATCCGCCTTTAACCCAGACCCAAGTGCACAATTATCAAGAACTGAATCCTACACAGGAGTAGACCCACCGGTTAGGCTTTAGTGGGTCTGCTCTGGAGGAGGCTCTGAAAAACGGGACGAGAGCGTGCATTAAGACCGGCCAAGATCATGCGAACAGAGTCAATATTTTAATTAATATTGGTTTATTAATTGGTTTATTAATTACAAGCAAACAGCAAAGAACCTGCACAAACAATGCTAACACCAAACCCTACGTATAGTAAGTAAAATAGAAAAATCGCCACCCGACCCCACCCCCACCCATCGTTCCCCGCCCTCCACCTATTACCCCTTTTCTTCTTAATGTCTCAACAAATGAAAATGATTTATAAAAATGTTACATGGGGGAAAAAACATGAAAGAGAGACATTGCACGCTTTTGTAAATCAACAAAATCTTTAATAAATAAATAAATAACTACTAGTCATAAAAAAGAGGCCTCCTCACCTGAAGGACATCAAAGCCCACCTGAAGTCCCAAAACAAAACTATCATATCCTGATCCACGCAGATCCATCCGTGTATGGAGCAATCTGCGTTGATCTGGATCTGATAGTTTACGACTCCCTGCTGTAGGGTATAACATGTATAATAGTATGTTTTGGGACTTCAGGTGGACTTTGATGTCCTTCAGGTGAGCTTTGGGGCGTACGGCTTTCCTCCATCTCTACTGCGCAGGATTCCTCTGGAATGACAAGATCACTTGCACAGCTTTCCTCCATCTCCACTGTGGAGGATTTCTCTTGAATTACCAGATCTAGCAAAGAACCACACTTCGAACATGTAGTTAGACTCTCGCTATTCACTGCACTTCCTGGGGTAATCACCACTACAGTTTCTATTAGAGATGTATTTGTTGTGGTGGTCCTGATGCAACATCTCTCCATCCCAACCAATGCTGCACTCAGCAGCTGGAAACCCGCAGCGATATAGCCTAGATAAATAGAAGGTCCAATATGCTGCTCGCTGGGAATTTGAGGCAATTCAAAAGTTTCGGGGAAGTCAATTTTCCCATTATGTAAGACAGCAGACATGTTCCATACCACAGAAATCAGGATGAGTATTCCTGCAGATAAGTTCAGCAGAGCTCCAAGCCCAAAAAAGGTTAAGAGAAAATCCTTGTGTTTTCCGGGCTCGAGCACATTGTAAAGGGCGAATGACTGTAGTACTAGGGCCGCTGAATTCATAACGGCAGCTAAGACCATTAAGTCCTGAGCAATAAAAATTTCCCTCGGGAGGGTTGGATATTGCTCACTGAGATCTTCACAATGGTAATAAGAGTTGCCGTCATTAGAAGGGTCTTTCCAAAAGCAGGCATCCCAGATTCCAATCCAGATGTTTCCAGAGCCGATTCCCTTGACGTTTTCCACACGCCACACTCTCCAGTTGACACTGAGTGTTGACACAATGCACATCGGCAAGGCCAAAATATCCATTAGGAATGCGGATAATTGGAGGCAGGACACGAATCTCAGCCACCTGACCACTAGGGAGCCTTCTTTCACCCGCAGGGGGGGTTTGGCCAGGAGGGGACCCAGGAAGACATTGGCAGACATCCTGGAAACAAAAGAGAAGACAAGATGCAGTGAGAGAGGGAATAACAAGCATGTCTAGTCATTGAAGGACATCCTTCCTCCTGCATTCTTCCTTCCATTCACAGAAAGAAGCAGCAAAAGAAAGAGTTCCCCTGCTCTCTCCCACCCCCTGGTTAGGTAGAGACACCTGATCCAGAGAAGCCGCAACTCAGACTTTCTTCCAGCACACTGCTACTGATTTAATCTACTGTTGCATTGTTCCTGTGAAAATGGCCAGAACCTCAGCAACCTGTTGTGGATGGGAAGCTGCTCATGATTTTGCTGTTTTGTGGGTTAAACCACAGAGCCTAGGACTTGCCCATCAGAAGGTTGGTGGTTCTAATCTCCGCGACGGGGTGACCACACGTGGTTCGGGCCCTGCTCCTGCCAACCTAGCAGTTCGAAAGCACGTCAAAGAGCAAGTAGATAAATAGGTACCGCTCCGTCGGGAAGGCAAACGGCGTTTCTGTGCGCTGCTCTGGTTCGCCAGAAGCGGCTTAATAATGACCCGGAAGCTGTATGCCGGCTCCCTCGGCCAATAAAGCGAGATGAGCGCCGCAACCCCAGAGTCGGTCACGACTGGACCTAATGGTCAGGGGTCCCTTTACCTTTACTGCAGCTATCCTTTCCCACTGAGCATAAACACACCTGACGGCATAGTGAGGAATGTTTAATCCATAAACTTACGTGAAATGCGTTCCTCAGCTAGAGACTAGCGTGCCAGGAATGGAGCAAGTATGTGCTAGGTGCTCCTGAGCCTTAGGAAGACTGAGCTGTTGGCCACTGAGCTGACGTTCGCCTGAGCAGCCGGCCAGCCACAGCAGCAACTGCTCTGCAGAATTCTTAGGTCAGTTACAGTCCAGTTAGAATCCTGACAACACCACAAATCATAACTCCAGGGTACTGGTCATTTGGAACATCAGGAAAGTGGAAAATGGGAGGGAACTCAGTTCCTTTCTTTCCCAATACAGAGTGTCTTTTCCAGGACACTGTACAGTTAAAACACGTTCTTCCAGAAGTCAGATTCAGAGCAGTTCCAGCAGTAAAAATGGTGATACAGTATGTGTATCTCAGCACAGATTTGTTTGATGGGCCTGAATGCATTTCATAAAGGATCTCCATGTACAAGAAAGGCTAATAGCATGAGGCCCTGAACCATAACAATTGCCTTGGCAAAATTATTGAAGACTCCTTACAAACCTCTCATTCTTCTTCCCCATCACATCTTGTTTGGACATTATAGTAAGGGAGAAGATCTTAGCTCTTTTCCTTTGCACTGGGATGACATGGTACCATATCGCAGCATCTATTAACAGCCACCCCCCCCAAAAAAAATCTCTGAGAATTCCAAAGAGCTCAATATGGTTTCCAGAACCCTAAGAAAGCTGCAGTTCCCAGCACCTTTAACAAACTACAGTTCCCAGGATTCTTGGTGTACGGTATTGCTACCGGCGTTGCAAAGCCAAGTTCACAGTCCTAAAAAGAAAGCTGGTTTATGCAGGAATATAGGTCCCCAATTAAGGGCTGCTTCAAGCAGGAAGATGGCGAGGCAGTGCGGCCTAGTGGTTAGACTGCCAAACTAGGACCTGGGAGGCACTGGGGTTCAAATCCCCCACTCGGCTATGAAGCCACATCTAAAAGAGCATAGAAATAAACAAGAGCATAGAAATAAAGAAGACCACGAAATGATACAAGCATGTCCCCCCGCTTTGCAGCCTCCTTTGAACAGATGTAAGGAGGCTCGGTGTGCCATCCTGCCAAGGGCCAGGCAGCCGGCTTAAATTCTGCTCAGCTGGGCGGGATTTCAGGCAAACCCCTCCCTGATTCAAAAGCGGGTTTGTCTGGATCTTTCTCCTAAACAGTCCCCCTTCTTCGTTTTAGCAGGGGAATCCAGTCTCATTCAGGCAGGGGGCTGCCTTGAATTTCCTGCTGAAACCCCCAAGTTGTCCAACTCTATTTTAGCTGAAATCCCATCTTGATTGAGGAAGGGGGTTTGCATTAGAAGTGGGACGGGCGGGGAGGGGGAATAGTTTCTAGCAGCAGTACCTCCCCAGGTGTTTTGAGGACCTATTACTAATTGATTGATTGATTTTCTATACAAACCTTTTGCAAACAGATCTTTTTTAAAAAAGAAACACAGTAAGCCACACATTTCCTGTGAATTACCCCCCATGACCATTACAAAGCTAAGAATAGTAACAGTAATAGTAATAGTAATAGTAATAGTAATAGTAATAGTAGCATATTGGGCATTATCTCTGCATAGGAACGAAATAGGGGTGGACTGTCTAAAATAATTGTGCCCAGAAAAGGGTGGTGGTGGACAGGAGAGGTTTAGGAGAGAGAGAGTGACCCCTCCCTTCCCCCAGCTTCATCCACACCTAAATTTGATGTGAAATGTGCTTTTCTTAAAAGAACAAAAAGCCAGTTACAGGGACAGTCTAAGAAACAATATTTTGGGGGGGGAGTGGGGAGATAGCTCCATTAGAGGTTCCACACTGTTAAGGAAAATTCCAGGTTGAGAGACTACTCAACAGCCCAGCTTGTCGGGGGACAGGTCCCCCTGCAGGTCCATGTGGTCAGTAAAAGAAGGAAATTCCAGCAAGCAAGCAATTTGGAGCAAAACAGCAGTCAGTAGACGCAGAACCTTTATTGTTGCGCAACAGGTTCAACAGCAGCCAGTGAACCCAGAGCATGGGGCCACATTGACTTTGAAAACTTTCCCACCATGTGTCAGAATACAGTTTGCACAGCATCATCAATACATCATTGCTACATCACTAACATGTCACCAAAGGGGAGGCTTACACAAGATTAGCATAGGCAGCTATGTCAGGGCAACACCCAAGTACAGTCTTAGCTTAGCATCATAGGCAAACATGTCTTAAGTACCCACCACCCAAAGTACAACAGAACTTCCTTGGCATGTCTGGAGCCGGAGGCAAGTCTGGGGATGAGATTTGGCTTCCCTTGGAGAACAAGGAGCCCAGCAATTGCCACCTCTAGGAATTTCCTGGGGCAGGAGGTGTGTACCCATGTCTTCAAGCTTGGGGAGGTGGAAGGGGAAAGAGTCTTTTTTCCAAGGGCAAAATGGTGCTGGAATGGAGGAACTTGGCAAAGGGGTTGATTTTATAGGATTCATAAAGCTTGGTATCTTCCCAGAGCTGTCAAGTCAAAAGGATAGGTTCATGCATAATGTTTGTAACATTTAAGAACTTTAAAGATGTGCTCCCCCATAGGTTCCGTAGGAACCGCAAATATTTTCTCCGCATTTAACTACAGTTCAGACATAGACATATTTCCCACCCCTTTAGTCCCATATGTTATATAGATATGCACTTATAAGCAACCTGGTACATCACAACACTCAAGTCCCTTCCAAGCAAACCTACACTGTCAGTTTTTAAAAAATATAAAAACCAAGGGTTTTGTAATTTCATTTCCGTGCACAAGAGTGTAATCCTCATGATAAACCTTCTTTTGGGTTCAACTGTGATGCCCAGATCTGGACACAGTATTTCAGCTGTGGTCTGACCAACCAACCAGAATAGTGTGGTAGCATTCCTTCGCTTGATCTAGACACTATACTCCTACTGATGCAGCCCAAAATTGCATTGGCGTTCTTAGCTGCCACATCACACTGTTGACTCATGTTCAGCTTGTGGTCGACTAAGACTCCCAGATCCCTTTCACAGGTACTGTTGTCAAGCCAAGTGTCCCCCACCTGTGCATTTCATTTTTTTCTAGCCAGGTGTAGTACCTTACATTTCTCCCTACTGAACTCCTTATTGTTGGTTTTGGCCCAGCTCTCTAGGCTATTCAGGTCATTTTGAATTCTGACCCTGCCCTCTGGTGTATTAGCAACCCCTCCCAGTTTGCAGTCGTTTGCAAATTTGATTAGCATGCCCTCTATTCCATCATCCAAATCATTTATAAAAATATTGAATAGCACCAGGCCCAGGGCAGAACCTTGTGGAACCCCAATAGTCATTTTTTTCCAGGATGAAGATGAGCCACTGATGAGCACTCTTTGGGTTCAGCCCGTCAACCAATTACAAATCCACCTAACAGTAGCTTTGTCTAGCCCACATTTTACTAGCTTTTTTGCAATAATATCATGGGGGACCTTTTCAAAGGCCTTACTGAAGTCAAGGTAAGCTGGTACAAGGGAAAGCAGGATTGTAATTACCGTAACAATTACTGATCACTTTGGATCAGCAGTCTCAACCTAACCCACTATGTGGGGAGAGCCACGTGTTCCTTTGGAAGGCAGGTGGAATACAGTGCAATATACGGACAGCTGTTTTAAAAGATGTAACTGTAACTTAAAATCCAGTATCAGGGGGGGAAAAAATAGATAGTCCCTGTGTGGATAGTCACGTCTGCATGATGGGGCCACCTCCAGTGACCATGTGGCCTGATATAAGAGGCTTCTAAAATCAGTCCTGAAAGTAGACTGATTGAGAATGACACACACATAGCTTTTGCTCTTCCATTAAGAGGGTGAGCTGAAGCAAATTCTTGCCTCCCTTTGGGCTTAGCAATACTTCCTACAGCATTCTTGTTGAAGGGCATTGGAGAGTTAGGTGGGGGTCACTTTTCTGTTTTTCTACCAAGTCCCCAGACAAGAATGCTACAGCATCAGCCCCAAACACTCAGTCTCAAAACAAAAAATACTCAACGGAGTTAGGGCTGAGGGTAGGGGAAGTACAATCATGATCTTTCCAGTCCTCTAGAAGCTGACCCTTTTGGTCATTTTGATCATGGAGCCAAATATCTCTTCCCAAGTTTTAAGAGTCTAAACAAGTAAAGAACAAGCTTGCCCTTTGAAGGGAAGTTTTTCTTTCTGCAGTTCTCTTACTGCACATAACTGTCGCATTGTGGGAAAGTCTTACATGCAATCTTTCTATGCTTACTATGAGCACTATTGCTTCTTTTCTCTCTTACATTCTGGGAAGTTTTTGCCTCTGCACATAAGTCTGAGAATGTTCTGAACAGTTCCCATTGAGTTCATGAAACAGTGTATCCTGACCTGTTCTTAATGCTTTGCTGACCACATTTACGGAACGTGATTGTTGTATTCCTTCATGTTATGTTCTCTCAATATCAATCTTTAGTTATAATTTAATTAGGAGGTTTCATGCCTGTCTAGTTCCAGCTCCGCTCCCAGTCTTTTGAACTATCACTGATTAATGTAATATGTAATGCCCGCCTTGTACCTATGTTAACCAATCAGCAACAAGATGCTTTGTGTTTGTATCAGCCAATCAGCCACAAGCACACCTGTGGCAATGTTTGTAATATTCAATAAAGAGAGTTCCCGGGACTTGTCCCGGGCAGACGCCTCTCCTTTGACACCCACCATTCGTCTGTCGTGATTTCAACCCAACATCTGGTGACCCCGACGTGCCAGATCCCTTACGCAGCCAAACCTCATACTTCACCCGACTGGAAAAGTCTCAGCGCGCTACTTCGTGAGTATGGGAGGGGACTTGACTAAGCTCCAGAAAGAGCATGCTAAAGAGTTGCTTTATTTAGTTAGACAGCGGGAGGTGGGTGTTAATATTTCCTTAAAAGAAATTGAACAATTGCTATGTGAGATAAATTGCCAATGCGTCTTTTATCCAGAGGCTGGATCTTTGGATGTAGAGACTTGGCAAAAGATCGGAAAGACCCTTTTGCAGAACCTAGGGCTCCGATTCATTGTCTGCTCACTTGGCAGAAATGTGCTGATGCCGTTGCTAAATTAGGGCCCCAATTGGGACCCCAGGCGTCTCCTCTTCTGGCCATTGCAGACAATCCCCACCCTACCCGAAACTTTTACCTCCTTTCTGCCAGCCAATCCCTCCCTGCTTCTCACCCTCCTCAGCCTGCATCCTCCCCCCCCATCCCTCCGCCTCAGCCTGATTCCTCCCCCCCCATCCCTCCTCCTCCTGCCACAGCCCCTGTTTGCTCTATAGGAGCTGTGCGTGCTGCGCTCTCTCTGGCAAGGCAAAAAGGGCTCCTGTCCTTAGAGGAGGAGTCTGAGTGGCCAGGTGAAATGCCGTCTGCTTTCCCTATCTCTTATTCAAACCCTGGAACTGCTCAACAGCAGATTTATTATGAATCGCTTCCTTATTCTGTAATGAGGGAATTAAGGAAAGCCATTGCTGATTCTGGTCTGAAATCCTCTTATGTGACAGGGATGCTAGAAGGCATAGCAACTGGTTACATTATGCTACCTCAGGACTGGAAAGACCTTATGCGCATGCTTTTGTCCCCTGCTCAGTATGTGGTGTTTGAGAGTGAATTTAAACATAGCGCTTCAGCCCTGTCTGATCCTCAACATACTGCCAATGAACTTTATGGTGCTGGTCAGTTTGCTGATATAACTGCCCAAGCAACACTGACACCTGTACATT